GCAAAATGTGGGACTTTTAGATTCATACAAGTCTGCTTTATCTGAAAATGTTGAACGGAACCTACATTTTATTAGTCTGCTTTATATATGCAATCCATTCTTGATTTCAAAACACAAGCGAATGCTTGTTCCAAAGAAGAGACAAACTTTGTTTCCTGGCAAGCATTACACTTGGATTGGTAATGGCTGAAACATTAGTCTCATGAGGAAGAAGAACGAAAACATGATCAATTTAACTACTTCGAGGGTAAGAAAAACACCAGCAAAAAAAACAAAAAAACATTAACTTTGACATGGGGATCCATGCACTTCATGCATTACATTAATAACAATACTTTTAATAAATGTATAAAATAATGTTGAACACTCTACTTAACAACAACAGAACAAAACAGAGCATACACTGATAATAGACAGAGCACCCACACTTAAAAAAATAAAAAAATAAAAAACTATGCTTCTCACAGAACTAACTTGTCTGAGGCATTTTTGTGATAACTTTTTTTAATCAGTATCAAAGTTCTTTTTTTCTCATATGTGCAAGAAAACAAGAGTTTAAAATGATATGACACACAGTACCATTAAATAATGCAGCTACACAAATAAATAAGTTAAAATTTACACACATACACATATATACATATATATATATATATATATATATACACACACTTTTTAAATTTTAAAGTGTGCAAATTTGTGTTCACACTAGCAGGGTAACCACAGATGGGAGGAAGGTTAACAATCAGAATGTTCACTTAAAAGTGTTCAATATCTATTCTTTTTAATATATTATTTTTAGCTTTACTGAGAATTGTTGAGAAACTATGAGAATTGTTTTGCTTGGAAAACATGTTTATGCTGTCTGTCTTAAAATTAATAACAAAATATGAAACCTATTTTTTCATATTTTAATTACATTAAGTTTCAAGTGTCCAACAACCTTTAGGGGAACACATACACAACATACGATTGTTTCTGCATTTCTTGTGCTTTAACTTAACAACTGTTCACCCATGTGTCTTTTTAAATAAATCTATTCTATAGAATAAAATAATGTTATCAGAGGAAGATAAGTATTCAAAGAGGTAGTCATAATACATTCTTATGTGGTTCACATAAGTTTGTAGACTAACGTTACTATTAGTACGGAACAACTCATATGCCATTTCAACACAAGACACAACAATCCTCACAGTACTTCATAAGTAACGTTACTAAATTAATTTCTTACCTCAACAGCATCAGCTTCTAATCTTCCGTTTCCTTGGATACAACGTAAATCCACTAAACCTGTCCACAGACACGACGGAAAGTCCTCCGTGTTTGACTGACCCAAAAACAAAGCTAAACTCAAGACACCGACGAAGTAGTGTTGTCAAGAGGAGAGACTCAAGTGTCCTGACGTACTGGACTGTCCTAAAGTCCACCGCACTCATCTTACTGTACAATAGGGAAACTTTGCGATAGGTTTGCTTGCTCTGTCGCACGTAACGCGACGCTAAGGCATCACTGAGACCCGGTTCGTCTGAGCCACCATTGGACCGATACGCCAACATAGTTACGGACGCATGCTAGAACGTTTCAAAACGGCAAAATCAAGTAAACAAAAACAATTAATAAAAAAAATACACCTCTATCCAGGGACTGGATTGGAGAGGCGGTCTTAGCACTGCTTCTCAGGAAATACGTCACAGATCTACGCAACGAGATGCGACGCGGTGTCACGCGGTGTATGATTTGCTTGCGCCATCTGCTGGATACACATGCGCCGTTTACTTCAAAAAGACAAGTTTTTTTTTTTAAAGATTAGTAACGAAAAATAGAAAACAAATATAATCCACCGAGATACAAAATGCTTACAATATAAATATTGTAAGGGTGTAATTTTTATACTTTATTACAAGCTTGCAGGTTTGTGTCTATTCAAATTAAAGTTAACTTTCATATTTTTAACTTTCATATTTTTTATAGGGAAAATGAAGCACCTGGATATGTAAAATATACTAGATATATATGATCTGTCAATTTGACATAAAATACAATTATTGTACTCAAAAAGCTCATTAAGAATTTTACTTTAAGTATTGACATGATTATCGTATGCATTTTTTCCACTTCGTATTTTCCTTTTAGTGCTTCTCCAGGAGCCTTACAGACGGTTAAATAAATAAATAAAATCGAAATATTTTGCAAAGTACTACAATGACATGTAACATATAAACTTTGTTTTGTATGCATGTACACTACAATGCAATGTTGTTGTATTCTGTATTATGCATTTTCACGCTAACTTTAGCAACCAAAACAAAAATAGTATTTAGTCGCGCATGCGCAGTTCACTTTCAAACCCCAAACGTGTTGGATTTTATGTTCGCACAATAGTCTGCGTTGAATCTGATCATTCTTCTTTATTTTATCATAAACGTGATCATGAAACTCTCTTTAGTATGTTAGAAAATTTAAATATGTTAATTTTGATATTAAACGCAACAGCAGTCTTACCACTCCTCGAGTAGTACGATGAAGCAAAGCACCCTTCAAGTAGGAATGCAAATTAGGCGAGTAAATGCGTCCTCTCTCGAGCGCCCATCAATTAGATTGAGAGCATCTACCCACAGCTGACTTAATGATCCAGCTAATGAAGCTCCTGAAGCCCAAACTCATTATGGTCACGTCAAGCGGGATCACGTTTCAAAGCGTATATTTCATTTCATATTTCCCCGCTTGCTTGCAATTATGGTCATATTTAAGCATCGGTGGTTTGATGGCCAAAGGTCAAGCTATGTTTTATTTGTCAGTAGTCTTTGTGAAAGGCAATGTAATGGACTGACAACTCATTATGTAGACGGACAGTTTGTTAGCGAACTGTATTTCATTATGAATGCATTAGAAACTTTTTGAAAAGCTTTTGCCCCTTAACCCAAAAGTTACAGTTGTCTCTGCAGTCATGGAAGGATTAGATTTGTTTGCAAAAGTCTTGGACGTAAACACAAAATTGATGCAGCATCACATGGTCTACAGAATAATTTAGAATCTGGTTTGTTTATTTGTGCATTACTGAAGTGTCTGATTAATCTGTGTATACAGAACCATGCAAGAGATGGTGGAGACTTTAATATAGGTGGCATGGTGGATAGTGTGCATATTAAGATGCATTTGAACTTCTGTATTCATTGGTTCAAATTAGTTCTCTGTACCTTCTTGTGTGCCCTCCACTGTTTTTTTTTTTTCATTTAAAGGCAGCAAGCCCAAAATCTTTTACATACAGTATAAAGTTAATTGCCTAAACAATGTTGTCCAAACACTGCTTGATATCTGTTTTATTGAGGAAATTTATTTAGTGTACTTAAAGGAATAGTTCACCCAAAACGGAAAATTTACTTGAGTTTGTTTCTTCATAGGAGCAGATTTGGAGAAATTCAGCATTAGGCTACATCACTTGCTCACCAATGGATTCTCTGCAGTGAATGGGTGCCATCAGAATTAGACTCCAAACAGCTGATAAAAACATCACAATAATCCACACCACTCCAGTCCATCAATTAATGTCTTAAAGGGCACCTGTTATGCCCCTTTTTACAATATGTAATAGGGCTGTGCAATTAATCACATGCGATTGTCAAGCGCATCTCGTCAGTAAAGCCGGTTCCGTGATTAGTAGTAAATCTCCATCACCTGCTTTCAGATGGAGCGGCATTTACTACACAGAGCCGTAGTTCACTGACAATTAGGCAATATCGTGTTCATAATCGCAGATGAATCACATTCGATTATGAACGCGATATTGCCTAGCTTGTCATTGAACTATGCTCTGTCTATTAAATGCCGCTCCATCTGAAAGCAGGTGATGGAGATTTCCTACTAATCACGGAACCGGCTTTACTGACGAGATGCGCTTGACAATCGCATGCGATTAATTGCACAGCCCTAATATGTAATATAAGTCTCAGGTGTCCCCAGAATGTGTCTGTGAAGTTTCAGCTCAAAATACCCTACAGATCATTTATTATATTTATTATTATTATTATAAACTTCTGATAGACGGTTTTCTGAGCGCAAACATCCGTAGCACGCGTATAGAAAGTGGCTGCACACAGCATGTGAGTACTTAGTTCTCTTTCACAGACGAGTTTATGTTAAAAACACACATAAGTTACAAAAACACAGTCAGTTATGTTTGTGAAGGTAAACATCTGGGAAAGAAATTGCATGTTTATATTAGATCTGTGTATTAAGTGACATCAGCATAATGTACAGTACCTATACTGCTGACTATGCTATTAATATGACCCCAAGAATAAAATGAAAGCAGAGAATCACTTACTGCTCTGGACTGAATAACGTCTATAGTCGTAATAAGAAGACATTTCTTACTTGAATGCTGCTTGCTAAATGCTCTAGCGTGAAGATAAACATTGTGTGTCAATCAACAATCGTGGGTGGGGCTGGTAAATTGTGATGTCACACTTTACGGATTCTGTGATCGGCTTGCTCTGAGACGCTGCTAATGATATATGGAGATTTAAAAAAAAAAAAAAGGAGCGATTTTTATCAGTATAGGTTGGTTGTGTACACACACTGCCAACACATTTCTGTCCAAACAACATGTGAAAGTGAATTTTGCATAATAGGTGCCCTTTAAGCGAAAAGCTGCATATTTGTAAGAAATCCATCATTATGGCGTTTTAACTTTAAACCGTTGCTTCTGGCAAAAATACAACTCCATAATCCATAATAACTCTTCCAGTGAAAAAGTTCATCCCCTGTTGTCCTCTCACATCAAAATCCATCATCATATTTGTTTAGAACTGTTTTGGACTGTTTTCTCTTGTAGAGTCGTGTGGATTATTGTACTGTTTTATCAGCTGTTTGAACTCTCATTCTGACGACACCCATGTTGACTTTAAATAATGCTTGAAGTATTAGTTTTGCATTTGAGTTGGCATTTATTATATATTTAAGAATTCAATAAAGAGGAACAAATAAAAAGCCTCGGGTTATAATCTTTATAACAGTATCCACAATGTACAGACAAAAAGTAATAAACATTTTCTGAAGCTGCCGGCAAACCATAACGATGGAGCCTGGTTCCTGCCTGCAGAGACAAATATATTTTTATAGTAAAATGACAGACTAATAAAACATCAACAATTACTATATGCAATTCTTTTCAGCTACCAAAGCATATTTAGTTAAGAATCCAAATAACGACATCCAAAATACTGCTCACCTCTGTGCTCAAGCATTAATTCGCCTTCATACTGGGCCATGACAAGTGCTTGTCTTTGTTCATTGTCTAATTCTGCCCACTGCTCCTCTGTCACGGCACACGCTTGTTCAGAGCTCAGCCAAGACAGCTGCGTGGCACTGAATACCACCTGAAATAATGAGAAACATGTCTGATGAACCAACCCTGGCAACAATTTGGGGTCTTCCTTGCAATGATTGTTGGTTGGAAGCTCCAAGTCATTCAGAGAAAAACAAATGGCTTTTTAAAAGGTCACTACAAATACTTATTAGCATATGCACTAATATTCAAAACTACATATTTTCAAAATCAACTAGTCGATAGATTGCTTCAACAACCCACCAATCAAGTAACTGACCTAATCTGGATGACCTGCACAATTACGCTGGTTTAGGGTTCACATGATCTTGCTCAGAAGCTTTTCTTAGGGTGTATTTGCATAAGAGAAGTGTTATTGCATTTAACAACAAAAATGCATCTTTTTTTGGAGACATGTTTTGAAAGTCGGGTTATTTTAAACCAGATGTACAGCATCGTAATGTGGAACCACAACCAAAGTGTCTGTCTGAATGCATTTGGCTCTAACAAGGGTGCTATAGAGTAGAAGAATTGAAAGATGCAAGTTTTCTGAGACTTTTAACGTATAAACTCTCTAAAGGTTTGGTCACGTTTACTGTTCTTCTGCAAATTTCACAGATGAAATCCAGCCATTTCAATAGGAATGACTGAGAATTTCACTGGATGGTGAAATATTTCCCTTTGCAGATTTCGCAAAAGGTTCAAGTTTGTCACACAGATTTGGTGTGTTGACCAACAGAAAGCTGCATGATTTGAAAGTCACTTCTGTGTGAGCTATGCTTCATACAATGTTACACTATTGACAATAGACAATGGACCTTTTTTCAGTTAAAGGGATAGTTCACCCAAAAATGAAAATTCTGTCATTAATTACTCACCCTCATGTCGTTCCAAACCCGTAAGACCTTCGTTCATCTTCCATAGTCCATGTGACACCAGGGGTTCAACCGTAATTTACAAAGCTACGAGCATACTTTTTGTGCGCAAAGAAAAAAATAAAATAATTTATTCAACAATTCTTCTCCCCGAGTTACCATCTTCCACCATTTTGGAGAGTACCCCAGAACGTAATCAACATAATCAGCGTTGTTTACGTTTAGCATGCGCGCGCTGTCTACTGAACGTAAACAATGCTGATTATGTTGATTATGTTGATGTACTCTCCAAAATGGCGGAAGACAGTAACTCAGGGACAAGAATTTGGAACGTCATGAGGGTGAGTAATTAATGACAGAATTTTCATTTTTGGGTGAACTATCCCTTTAAAGGTGAGGTATGTATTTTTTCAAAAACGCTTTAGAAAACTGAGTCGGGCCGAGTACCAAAACAGACTTGTAGCCAATCAGCAGTAAGGGGCGTGTCTACTCATGATATGGACGAGAGAGCGCTCATTAGCCGAGCCGAGCAACAGAAAGATAGAGATGGCGGATAAAACACGAAAGAGGAAAACGTCTGCGGAACAAAAGAAGGCTTACGATAAGGCAAGAAGTAGGATCCGTGTAAATATCTGATCAGCTTTCCAGCGCTGGAGAGAACTCAAGGAGCGGAAGGCGATCGGACGCCGAGGTTGCTTTGTTTCTCACACCGTGTCTACACCGGGACCAGGCCGCAACAGCTAAAGTCTGTTTACACCGGACGCGACAAAGCAATCGTTGAAAATCATTTGAAATTTGTGTCAACACATCATAAATAGAACGCAGCAGCAGTTTTCTGTCGGGGATTCTGTCTACATCCAGTGTAGACGGCATCACTGATTATAACGAGTTCTATAGTATTTTGCCGCGCCGCTCACGTATCGAAAGTGTAGACACGGTGTAACATTGGTTTTGCTTTGTTTCACAGAACTAATCGTTGCCTGGGTTGCGTACGTATGTGTTGGGTGGAGCTATCAAAATAGGGGCGAGACGCTTTTGGGGTAGGGGCGTGTTTGTTTTGGTGATTTGAAATATCAACATTGCCTACCAGAAATCACTTACCCCACCTTTAAGTTTGGAGGTTGTTTGGTGAATTTTGCAGACAAAATCCAGTCATTTCAATTAGGTGTAAAATTTCCTCAATTTTGCAGCACATTCATATTTGTCACACAGATTCGGCGCATTTCCCAAAATAAATCTGACTGGTTTGAAAGTGGCTTCTGTGTGAGCTGTGCTTCAAAAATGCTACAATAGTTGACAAACTGTTTTTTAAAACAGCCAGTCAAAAGTGCATGACCAACATGAATATAAGCGTAATCTTCGTGGTGAATTTTTTTGCCCTCGCACGAAACTCTAAATCGCACCAGTTCTTATTGGAATGACCAGATTTCGCCCACGAAAATTTGCCAAGCAGCGATACATGTGACCATGCCTTGAGACAATTAGTAAAATATTAAGGTCTTATGTTTAACAGGAGGATAGAAAGTGAAAGAGAATGAATAAAAACAGAGATGTCCATCACTCACAGTGAATTTTCTTGGAGGTATCAGGGTTATTGCTGCTGGTGTAAGTCCTTCCACTTGCTCTTTTATTAGTGCAGATAATACCATATCCTCCAGCCCAGCTGAGGACACAGAATCAGTTTGTTTTATTCTTTTTGTAAGCCTGCCTAATTTGGCATGTGTATATTGTCCATTGAACTGATTGTAATCGAATCCACCGTCAGTACCTGCCAAAGTCCCAATCTCAGTGAAGACCTCAGAGCCCCAGCTGCTGACTGGACCAAAGCCCAGAGGACTGGATAGGCATGACGTCAGCGCCTCGGTCTGCTGCTCAGAACACGGCAGTACCATCTCCCCCAGAAACAAAGCAGCCACACTAATGGACACAAACACAGTGCTTTCAATGGTTTTGAGGTGAATCGTTTTGTATTTTGAATTGTGTAAACTGATTTTCACCGCTGACCTCAGGTTGAACGGGTCTAGATGGGAAATTTCAGAGGAACTGAAGCCACAAAGCAGATGTCCAAAGGAAACAAGCTCCACCACACCAAGCTCTTCAGGCTTTTGTTTAAGTCGCTTCATTATACCAAGGACAACTGCTCTCATCTGTTTAAAAAATAACTAGATGTATCTTTCCAGTTTAGGACTTAAGGCTAATCCGAACAACTAAAAACGTACTTTCTTTGCGTTCCACCCATTGAGGTCCCCAAGATGGGCCACCACAGCCAGATTGGACAAGTTGACAGCTTCTCTCTCTCTTTGACAAACTGTTTTTTAAAACAGCCAGTCAAAAGTGCATGACCAACATGAATATAAGCGTAATCTTCGTGGTGAATTTTTTTGCCCTCGCACGAAACTCTAAATCGCACCAGTTCTTATTGGAATGACCAGATTTCGCCCACGAAAATTTGCCAAGCAGCGATACATGTGACCATGCCTTGAGACAATTAGTAAAATATTAAGGTCTTATGTTTAACAGGAGGATAGAAAGTGAAAGAGAATGAATAAAAACAGAGATGTCCATCACTCACAGTGAATTTTCTTGGAGGTATCAGGGTTATTGCTGCTGGTGTAAGTCCTTCCACTTGCTCTTTTATTAGTGCAGATAATACCATATCCTCCAGCCCAGCTGAGGACACAGAAGTTTGTTTTATTCTTTTTGTAAGCCTGCCTAATTTGGCATGTGTATATTGTCCATTGAACTGATTGTAATCGAATCCACCGTCAGTACCTGCCAAAGTCCCAATCTCAGTGAAGACCTCAGAGCCCCAGCTGCTGACTGGACCAAAGCCCAGAGGACTGGATAGGCATGACGTCAGCGCCTCGGTCTGCTGCTCAGAACACGGCAGTACCATCTCCCCCAGAAACAAAGCAGCCACACTAATGGACACAAACACAGTGCTTTCAATGGTTTTGAGGTGAATCGTTTTGTATTTTGAATTGTGTAAACTGATTTTCACCGCTGACCTCAGGTTGAACGGGTCTAGATGGGAAATTTCAGAGGAACTGAAGCCACAAAGCAGATGTCCAAAGGAAACAAGCTCCACCACACCAAGCTCTTCAGTCTTTTGTTTAAGTCGCTTCATTATACCAAGGACAACTGCTCTCATCTGTTTAAAAAATAACTAGATGTATCTTTCCAGTTTAGGACTTAAGGCTAATCCGAACAACTAAAAACTTACTTTCTTTGCGTTCCACCCATTGAGGTCCCCAAGATGGGCCACCACAGCCAGATTGGACAAGTTGACAGCCTGTAGCTCTCTTTCTCCCATCTCAGTCACTATACAACCCAGTTCCAACATCTGTTCTGGTTCAAGCTGCTTCACTGGTTTATACACCTAAAATAATGGTTGTCATATGAGATCAAACATTTGATAATCAATGAGCAACAACATTTGGTCAAGCAGAAGTAGCTTAACTGGTCTGAGTTCCATCCAAAGTGCTTCACGTTGCTCGGCATCAAGTGTGTCATCCTGACCAATGAACTCAACACACATCTTCAGCTCCTTCCTCTTTATTCGATTCAGCTGATAGGACCTCCAGGCCGATGGAAATGTCCCTTTAATGTCTGCACAGCTTGGAATGGGCCCTAGTAGGCAACAGTATATGATTTACCTTTCCGAAGAAGTCATAAATAATATCTAATGGATTCTGTAAATGAATGCAGCACACACAACTCACCCCTTCTCATCCACCATCGACCTTTAACGATCCTGTGGGTGAGACCGTTCATCTTTTCTCGTAGTCCTTTCAGATCCAAACAAGCCTTTCCCAATTCGCTGCTTTTCCAAAGCCACTGGCTCATCAGGACCTGCTCAACTGTGTCTTTACCTAAATCACCCTTGATGGAAGAAGGAAGATGTTCAACGTGATGTTATCCTGCACAATATCGAGCTTTAATTGAATGGAAAGGCCTGTGTTTCCCTTACCAGTGGCAGAGATCTTATCTGCTGAGGTGAAAGGGTGAACAAAAGTCTACCCACATGCTCAACATCCCCAACCGTCCATGTTTTCAGATCTCTGTTGCAAACAACAGGAACTTTGTCAAATTCCCAGTACAGATGCAATTTGTAATTTGCTTGCCGTGTGGAACTACATTTTGCAGTTGCAGTCAGAACAAAGAGGTTGTCAACAGACCATTTTCAGAGATGCCCTATCAGTGGAGACAAAAGGATACCAAAAAATAAATAAATAAATAAATACCAAACCACATCCATATAATCATAGCCGCGGGAACGTATTTTGTCCAGGGGGGCTGAGAAATAAAACTTGTGGGGAAGGGGGAGTCACGTGACAAGAGTGATGCGAGAAGACACTATGATGGCGGATCCAAAAGAGTTACTTTTAATAAAACTTTAATTTCTTCGTTTAATAGCCTATAAGTGAGTGTCTAAAAAACCATGGCAACAAATGGTTTTTTTTTTAAGTCAGTTTAAGAAGTTTAATAAGTTGAAACAACTTTCACAGTCAATTTGATTCAACTTGACTCATGTTTAACCGTTGCTTCTTGTCATTGTAGGCTTAGGCTACTTTTTTCAATACATTTTAATGAATATACAAATTAATAAAATGAATTTTATTTATTTTTTATTACATATTGTTCATTCATTTATTTTTAACACCGCACCCCCAGCACCTCCATTTTTTCGTGGGCGACACTCCAGGGGGTGCCCAGCACCCCTACTTCCCGCGGTAATGCATATAATCCACATTTTTGGAAATGCATTTCTGCATTCTGCAACAGTAAAACTAGATTTCAATTAGGGTTGGGTTTTTTTTCTAAAAAATAAAAATGAAAATGAAAATGTGGTGACAATGCGAGCTACTGGATGAAGGCATAGTTCGTCTGGGTCACTGTGAAACTTCTATGAAATGTTGCACTGCATTAACTTCAGTCATGAAATTTGAAAATCCACAATAATTTTGTGCTTACGAGTACATCGATAGCTTTCTCTGCAAGGGCCGTTTGCTTGTGTCGTGGAAGCTGGAGAAAGTCAATAAAGTGTTGTCGAACATAGTCCAGTACACTATTGAGTGAGGAGTTAGACAGGTTCTCCAACATGGTCAGCCTGAGAGACAAAATACAACAGTAGGACCATGTATGTAAAAGAACAAACTAATGAGAATCTGGATAGACAACCGCTGATCTTACGGTAATCTTGCAGCAAATGAGGGGTCTAAGTCATTTAGATCAATATCAGGCCGTTTCCGTAGCTCCACCACAACGCATTTCTTCTGTTGAAACATAACATCAATGTTGTTCATTTTCCACAGACAGGCTAAAAACCTCCCTTGTGTCATATACTGTACATTATTGGTGGGGAACATGGGGAACAAAAGTGCCATGGGCTATGTTAAATAATGTTACTTAATCAAAATATTATAATCTCTGCATTTTGCATTTGGACAGCAAAGGCTTTTAATGTTAATGTGTATATTAATAAGATTTCTCATATTCTTACCAAACCAGGTCTAAGTCCTCCTGGCAACTTAGTGATGAATTGCAACAATTCAGAAAAGCCTGACTCATTTACCCAAAGCTTCAGCCATTCACAGCTCATGCCACCAGCAATGCGACCTAAATCTCTTCAGTGGAAATAAAAATGTATGAATGTTTATAAAATTTGAAAACAACACAAATATAAAAACAATGCATATTTTTTGTGCTAGAGATCCAGATTATGATGCAACTAAGACCAGCATGAATTTCCAAAGAAAAATATAACAGGTGAGGCTAGCTGACCAGTCAACAATCATAAAGTACAGTAATGCTGGATATCACTTACAGTATTGACTCCCTTGTGATGTTTACGGTCCGCTGAATCATTTTGAACAGCATTTGAGCCTGTTGTGTCAAATACAACAAGTGAGTCTGAGAAACTGGATCGCCCTCAAGGATGTATCTGATACACTTTTGGCTGAGACAAGGTCTCTTTAATGTGGGTGATTATTAATTCATATTCCCTGGTGGAGGCTATTGTACCACATTAAGATCAATTTGCTTGATGGCAGTTGAGGGGCTCAGATTATTAATTTACTGAAAGGCTCCTTTGAAGCATGACAAGTAATCCACCAAAGAACTTGAGATCAGCTTTGTCTGGCAAGAGCAGTACAGGGCACTGAATGTACAGAGTGCTAGAGTTGAATATTCAGTGCTTCTATAGTTTCTTTAAAATGCTTATTTCAATTGCTGAGAGAAAATATACATTTAACATTAAAAAGATCTGATCTTCCTGGATAGTGCTAGCTGAAGACTTCTATGTTTTTGTGCATGATATGCAACATTGACAATCTGTGAACTAGAAAAAGCAAGTTTGCCAAAACCAAAGGTATGAAATTAGGTTTGTACCTGTTGGTGAGACCATGGCATATGCTTATACACAGATATGTGATGAAGGACCGTCTCTCCATCTAGATCTGACATTAATTTCCTCAAGGAGACGAATGGTAGAAGACATTCCAACTGCCGTGTTATATTTGCAGACGTGCCTTCCAGAGCCTTCAAACAAACAGCATGTGTTATACACCAACAGACCAAACCAAATCTAATGCATAAACGCAAATGGAAAATGGGGAAATGGTGATTGTTTTGTACAGAGTTTAAGCACTAGAAGTTCGAACCTGTTGGAGTGCGAAATGGACCATCGCTCGATGAGCAGGTTGCAGGTGAGCCAGCATTAATCTCCAACACCGACAATCAGGTGTAGATTCAAGTACAACCAACTTTCTCAAGAAAGAAGGCCCCAGACCAGGAAACAATGGCTTCAGTCTGCAGAGCATGTTGGCACTGAACTAAACAGGATTGAGACTGTGAACACAGGACTCACTAAAGGTAAGCATCGTAATTGTACTGGTGTGTATATCTTACATGTGTTTCTTCTGCTATTTTGTTCAGTATCTGAAATGCCTGCATTAAAAGAAATGGAAAAGGGTTTTAATATAGAGATAAAATTATGCAATATATTTACACTGACTATTTACAATATCATTCTATCAGTGTTGTACAAAATTTACAATTGAGAACCTGGCTTCATCCAATTCACGAGTTGGACTTTGAATTGAATTGGAACTATTGAAATTATAGGAAGAGGAATCTATCTATGGCATCTATGGTTCCATGAAGAACCTCTATTCTAATCTATCTATCTATCTATCTTAGAGGCATCCAATCCTGTTCCTGGAGGGCCACTCTCCTGCAAAGTTTAGCTCCAGTTAAACAGACCTGAACCAAGGTAATCAAGGTCTTCCGGATTACTAGAATGGTCCAGGTAGGTATGTTCAACAAGTTGGAGCTAAACCCTGCAGGACGTTGGCCCTGCAGAACCAGGACTGGACACCCCTGATATACAGTATCATTAAGGCTTATGCAATTTCAGGCTTTAAGTCAACAGTCAATGTTTGTCTTGGCAAACTTTGGTTTTCAAGTAAAAAATTAGTTTAATTCTACTTCCTTATATTCAAATTAGAATTTCAATTGTGCATCCTGTTCAAATTAAGAAACTAAATTGTAACTTAAAAAGCTTTCATTCTAATGGTCTTACCTGAGCAGGTGGGAAAGTTGGCATACCCGGCAGAGTTACCAGATCCAACAACTCGTTTGAGGACAACGGCTCCAAAAATGAAGCACCCATTTGTGGCAGCATACCATGTAACGAGGCCATTGCCGAAGTTGACAAGATACTGGCATTTAAAGATTTAAGGGCTGTCCCAAGCCAATGTGAAAGCTGCAGATAAAAGAACTCTTCATGAATAACACTTGATATTATTACACGATGCACAATATCCAAAAAACCAAGGCTCACTCTGCCACTTCCACTGATGTGTCCCTCTGATACACATTGTGCCAGCTGCTGCCACAGGACAGGTGAGAGATTCGATGAAGACAATAACTGTTGTAAGTCCTCAGAGTTCAGGTAACATATGAGAACTCCTAACCTGTTGTGAGAAACACAGTGTCTTGTATTTGTTTGTAAATTTACAAATGTCATATGATGTTGAACTGAATTTGTACTTCATTATGTTGTCACTCGTCAGGTTCTTCCCCCGGCCGAACACAGTACGAAGTACATGGTGCCCCCTTGTGGCATCCAGACTGCTGTTCCCCAGCATCTCCATTAAGGGCGTGAGCTGTCAACCATTCACGTTACTTTCGGCAAGTGAAAAGAAAAAAGCAGGATCTCCTGAATGAGACATTACTTACTTGTTGAGATGTGAGCTGCTGAAAGTGACTGACTGGGAGATGTGGAAGTAGAGGCAGAATGGAGCTGAGGAAGTATGGAGGCCACGAAGGCACATCTCCAGCTATGCTGGACTGTAACAGGCGTTTTATGAAGGCTTGTTTTTGTGGAGACTTCATCTCAGAGCTGTGATCACTAATGGCCAGCAGTCTGGAGCGAGTGAATATAATAATTGAATTAGGAGGACACTGGGCTAAATCATAAAATATAGTTTCGATATGATCCACTTACACACTTTCATTGACCATGAGGGAGGCAGGGAAGGTCATAATGTCTGAGACAGACATGTACGGTATAAACTGGGAGAGGTCAATGAAAAGCTCTGGTGTGACACGTGGAAACTTGTGAATGAAAGTTAATAAAGATTCCAAATGTTGGTTTCACAATTTTGGGTTCACTTTCAGTGAACAGTTCTTAAAGAACCGTTTTTCTTAGTGTATCCACTATAAAGAACCTTTTGTGCAATGGAAAGATTCTGTGGAAGTTAAAGGTTAGACTTCATCTCAGAGCTGTGATCACTAATGGCCAGCAGTCTGGAGCGAGTGAATATAATAATTGAATTAGGAGGACACTGGGCTAAATCATAAAATATAGTTTCGATATGATCCACTTACACACTTTCATTGACCATGAGGGAGGCAGGGAAGGTCATAATGTCTGAGACAGACATGTACGGTATAAACTGGGAGAGGTCAATGAAAAGCTCTGGTGTGACACGTGGAAACTTGTGAATGAAAGCAGCTGTCATGGTTTCCATGGCCTCTTGTTCTTTTGGAGAGACCTGTGAATGACACCAGAGGTACGTATATAGGGATGCATTATATATTGGTACTATATCAGTTATTGTAATCTTTTAACAAATCTCAAAATGAATATACATACTGTTCATTATAAAGTTGCACTGCAAAAAAGATCAGTTGTATAATTTGAAAGTTTTTTTATTTATTTATTTTTAAATTTAAAAATAGAATTTAATATCATTTAATTTTATTAAAATAATTTTAATTTAATTTTATATGACTAAATGTGAAAATTATCACCTTATCAGTATCAACCAGATCTCACTGTTTTGGAATAACATCTGAATTGACCTCCATCATGTAAAATGTTGTTTGGTGGTTTACCTGTATAGTTTCCACTTGAAGTTGATCCCAACTCTGATGAACATGGGAAAGGAATCTTTTCACAGCATCTTTTTCCGCCGACATAACTACACTGCGAATACTCTCTCTAGGCATCTGTAGGTACTCCTTGGAGAGTATAAATGTCAGAATTAGACATTGACAAATGTGTGCTGACAAAATAGTGCAGTTTTTCAAGGAACGCTTGTGAGTGAAAGGTCTGAACTCATCAACTTAACTTTAAGAAACTACAGTATGGAAATGGATAGAATCTATATTTTATATGTTGGGATTTTGGGTTTAACTCAAGAGATTTCAAACTCGGTTATGTAAGATGTTCTAGGGGGTAGGCAGAAAAGTAAGCTGTAATTACATAATACACCTTACTTATACAGTATATAATGTATTATAATGATGATAAAGATCATTTTATTAATGATAAAAAATCTAATTTCTTATGATTTTAGCACAATGATAATTTTGCAGTCATTTTGTCTTAATAATATCAAACTTACTAGCTTTCTCACGTAGTAAAAATAGGTCTTTACATGAAGATATATATATA